GTTGTTGGTTTATATGGGTTATATTGTGTATAGATTGGTTATATATTGTTTATAACTTATATATAGGTTATGTTACGTTGGTTTATATGGTTTATATGGGTTACAGGTATTGGTTAGTCCTTTGGTTTGATCCCGGACCCTCCCAGGAGTCCTTGGACTCGCCCCGCACGTGGGGGAGCCCAGTACGCAAACATGAGCTACACGGCAAGCTTCGGGGGGCAGGAAAGAGGGATCAGAAGAGTCTTCAAAACATCCTCAAACCAAAACATATTGGAAAATTATAGACTATATATGGTGATCATGTATATATAGGTGATCCTGGAATCACAGGCCGCCCCACACATATGCCATATGGATGTCGATTATATGTTGATGCTCGACTCTCCTGTTTGCTTGCCAGTGCTCACCAGAGTGGTCCAAGAACGGGACCGTGGCACGTGGGTTCTGAATCAAACACAGTTCTGCGCACGAAGACCCGTTCGAAGGTGTTTTGGTTTTTGGAATCCTGATCTGGTGCGGTGTCTTAAGACACAAAGAGATGCTAGGCTTTTTCGTGAGTGTTTTTTCTTTGACCAGCAATATTGTCCTTGATGAATTAATATTATCAAAGTGGTTAGACCTTCACGGCACCCACCCCAACCAGCTTCTCAGTTAGTCGGAGTTCTGGACTTTTTAAAAGGATATCGACTGCCTAGTTCTTCAAAGTGACCCAGACTGAGATCCCCAGTGGTTTGGTCACTTAAGTCTCTCTTGAGGGTCACTGGCTGCAGCACCCTCAAGTTCTACCACAAACTGAAGAAGCTGGTATATGATTTGCGGTAGGTTTTGTAATATCAATACCAATACAGCAGCATCTTGCTTACAATAGATAAGTTAACTATTACCTATTTGATGCACAGCTGGTATAATGAATGTTTTTATATTGGACTTGGTCAAGAACCCTGCAGGTAAACATCAACAGCGAGTCCATACGCAGGTGCATCAAACACCGGTGGCCGGCTTTACGCCCGTGCGAGGCCGGCGTTCCGCATTTGCCGTCCCTCGTCGCCTCCCAGCACCCAGCAGTGGCGGTCGAACCGTGCACGACAATCGCCTGGGGCAGATCTGGAGTCGATGTGCCTTGGAAGAACTGCGTCCTGTTGATATGACCTACATGGCCGTCTATGGCCATCCAGGGTCTTTACTGGTACTGGTCGAGTGCTCAGTCGTGAGGTTGTTTTGTGTTCGTCGAAGTATTGAAACCAACAAACACCGAAGAGAATCAACACATGACCCGCCCCGCGTGGGTGTTTTTTTTGTTTAATGACCCGAATTGGGTCACTGGGTCGCCTCTAAAGGATGGATCAGGGTTCCAAAAGGTCGTTTGCTTTGATGAAGCAAGCCAATGGTCATTGGTTCCAAAAGCTGTTGACCATTGGTTTAGCTTTGTTGATCATTGGTTCCAAAAGGATCTCTAAATTCCCAAGCAAAAGAATGAACAACACCGAATCACAGGATTCGGGTCCAGAGTCAAGCTTGGTCCCACCTTGCCCTGCCTGTTTGGATTCTGTGATCTCTTCGATGTCTTCTCCGGACTGCGAGAGCTCCAGATGAAATTCGATTAATGTACGTATGATGCGTTGACAAGGAAGAGCTTTTTTGATGGAGTTGAGCTTTTCCCACTCCTATGACCAAATCTTGTTCAGTGACTTCTCATGGCGTATCTTTAACATTTATATATATAGGTGGTTGTTCACTTGCTCCGAACAAGTTCTTGACATTTTGCAGGGTAGCAGCTGCCACTGGGTAGGAAGACTGGGTGGTGCTTTGGCGTAGAGCTTCGCACCAAAGAAGGGAAGTCATAATGAGTTGCTGTTTCTGTCGGCTCTTGCAAACAGGGTTGCGAAACACGGTCACAGATCCTGTTGTTGTGGTGGTGTTCGGTTTACCCTCAGAGGGGCTATTACTATCAGACATTCCTTGGAGGGCCCTGGTACATGTATATACTTGTTCTTCCCTTTTTTTCTGGTCCAGCAAGCTACACCTGCTTTCTTGAAGCTTCTTCAAACCTGTGGCCAGTGGCCACCCTGAGGAGAGACATCAACGAAGGCGACGGACCGCAAGGGACCGAAGTAGCAAAACCGACTGTACGTATCAGCGTCCTGGAAGTGGAAAGGACCGGGCCCAATGGTGGTTTGTAGAGGAACACCGAGTCTCCAAAAGAACCATGTGACGCAGACGTCCACTGTCCACGGAACGTGAGTGGGAGCGTAGCATTTAGGTACTGGCCTGTGGCACAGTAGGTCGTCACATCTTGCAAGTGATCACTCAAAAGGGCATTAGATACACAAGGATCCCAGGACGTTTGCAGCAAGGGACGGCGCGGTGTCGCTCCGAAGTCTTTCATCGATCTCTCATGGCTTGACTTGAGCGTCATGACTTGCCATGGCAGGTGTTTGTGTTGATAGTGAAGGGATGACGATCGGATATTTGTGTTGTCATTTGTCTCATCTGCTTTCGGCCCTGAGCTGGGCTGCATGACCCACCACTGATGGCCAGGCCGCCTGCGGCAGGAGTTCTGCGAGGTGGAGCCTATTGGTCGAGGCAAGTGGAGCCGAGCTTGGATCCTTGTGGATCAGCTTCAACCAGTGATTGAATTGAAACCTTCTTTGGTCATGATTATGAACAAATGATTCCATGTTAAGTGACTGGTAGGCTGGTAGACTGGACCAGGTTTATTGGTAGATTCACCAGGATCCAAATATTTGACACTCTCTGGAACCAACACGGAAGTGAAAAAAAAATGTTTGTAGAGGAAAATGGTCTTCCAAGCTTCCATTGTCCATCCATGTTGTAGTTCTAGGGATCCCAGTACCTTCTCAGAAGGTACTTGCACCCTCCTGGCACCTACATAAGAGTGTCGAACACATCACCTTCTGAGAAGGTACTTGGATCCCTAGGGGTAGTTCTAGGGAGAGCATCTTTTCTTTTTTTTCCGGCGGATTGCGCGCGCTGGGCGCACATTGGGATCCCCTCTACGATACAAACGAAGGAGTCTGAGGGAGTTGTACTTGAACATGTTCTACTGCCTGGTTCTTCAAACCACTGGCTTTAGGTCGACTTGAGCCTGTGAAAGGTCACGTGCAGCTGGTATTGAAGCATGTTGTTCTATCCAATCCCAGCCTTGAAGGCCTACTGCGGCTTTATGCATTTTTCTCTGAACGTGCAACATGTATTGAGCAGGTTGTGTCCATCAATCTGGGACAACATATAATTTCCAAGGACATCTGAAGGGCTTGGTGATGTCTCGCCCCGTTCTGTTGGTTGCCACCACGGGGGTCGACAACCACTTTGGAGCTACTCCCAGAACTGATCCCCCTCCGCGTGCGATGGTGCCAGGGCAATTCTCCACAGTGTACAAGGCCCACAGAGACGGGTGTGGCACAGCATGAAGAAACAGATAGGCTGGACCCCCAGGATGGTCTTGTTACATATGTTTTGTTGGGGGTGAAGGTGCCTTGTGATGGCGGATGTGCATGTGGTCGATGTATTTTGAGGTACAGTAAAAATCCACCTGTGCTTGAACTTGAAGAAGATGACATTGCGGGTTTTCGGGTTTTTTCATCGTTCGCATCGTTTCTTGATCATCCCACTGATATCCCAGAAGAAGATGAAATGAAGAAAAAAGATGGAGGGGAGGGAGGGATGCGCTGGAAAGTGTAGCATGTTCAATCTATAGCAACTCAATTATCCAATTATATCCCATTGATGTCTTTCTGGCACCCAAATCTGGGCCAAACTGACCCTTCAACCCAATTAAAGGAAAACTGAATTGGTTCCATCAAGGTTTCCTGTTTGTTCAGAGGCCGATCTTCGATTCTCTTTGGAAGATGTTGCAAGCTTTGAAGGGCCATTCCCTGGTTGACCCACTTCCGGTTTCCTGACCCATTTGGGTTCACAGGCCTCACACCCAAGTCATTTGCCTTGAACGGGTGAGCTATACCCAGACACTCCATGGGACTGCCACATATGCCTACATTGACCCCCCCTGGCACCACCCCAACTGATCGGCATATATGGCAGTCCCATGGAGTGTCTGGGATAGAGATCCTCACAACCTCGGGCAATTCGACGACCGTTCGCCTGAGCTGGACTGGTGAAACCCCCTCAGACTCTGATCCTCCCAGGATCGGGCAATTGGTCCGAAGAAAAACCAGTAAAGGCTCGTTGGCCTTCATGGATGACCTTTAGATGAGCCTTCAAACCGAAGAAAGAACGAACCCAGCTCATTTCATAGATCGCTCGTGGATTTTTTTTGTCATCTACTATAGGACCGAGACCAATCAAGAGGTGTCTATAGCTGATTCGAGGTGTCCCAACACCCCCCCGAACTTGGAAGGTCCTGGTGGATCGACCCTTAAACACCCAAGACGGTCGCATCGCACCGTCCAGTTCGGGGGGACCCTCGGTTGTGTGGACCCGACCCCCTCGCGGTTCTCCGGTGGGAGGGACCCCGTGACCGGTGGAGCGAGGAGTTGGGAGGAAGCGAGGGGAGATCATAAGTGCTAAACATGGGCTATTTTTAGTAGGGAGATTGGCCCAACCTGGCTCTACCTGGGCAAAAGAAACTCGGAAGTTCTTTCACTCGACCGAACTGGTGGTTTCGGTCTCCCACGGTCTCCTGAGAAAAGATATTACACACCATTACACACCAAGATGATTCGATCCGGGTCCATTCGGGATCCTGACAAAAAGCTCCATGGTGACCTGGCTGCTGGGTCGATTCCTCGCAACTGTGGCTCGAAGTGATTTTACTGTGAAGAGAAGGTCGGGTCCTACATTGCAAGGAAGAAGAGGCTGCAAAGATGATAAGGACATCAAAGGCATCCCCACTATGATGGTTGTTTCATGTTGTTTCACCTGAACCACATTGAACATAGACGAGCGCGCCAAAAAAAAGTCGAGTGTAGTATGTTTCAAAGGCCGAACAGAACAGCAGACAAACAGAAACGTCCAAGCCTGACGTAGATCCGCCGAATCCGACGCGTCCGGTCTGTGCACCCGACGGGATGGCGTGGTTGGACTTGCAACCACCATCTCGATGGCAGGACCTGGGCAATCAGGGGCGTTTGGTATGGGATGTTTGTTTGTTGCGAGTGGATCCTCCTTACAACTGGTATAGGGTCCTACAAATAGGTCCGCTATAGGGTTCTTGGGCCATGGCTAGTTCCCTTACTTTCATGGTGGCTGGATTGAGTATTCTTTTTCGTGGCTTGTGCGCCAGGTATAGCTCGTAGCGACGGTCCTTTGAGTCTGAGAACCGACCGCAGTCGGCGGCCGTCCAAAACGGCAGTGCTACAGAGCAACAGCGAGCGAGCGAAAACGCGAGCTCAGTGGCTGAGCTCGCACCCTCAGCTTGGCTGAACTCTTCGCGAGTTGGCGATGGAGTGAGGTGCGTACTTTTTTCTCAGTGGTTCTTCCTTTATCCTTGTGAGATGCGTGTGAGGATGATCACCTTGCTTTGACGGTGCCCGGTTCAGCTTACGTGGTTTGGGTGATCAAGACGTGACGCGTAGCGAAGCGAGCCGTAGCTACATCACCTCCACCTTAAGTCAGTGGACATACTACCAGATCTTCCGACTATACTATACCAAATGTTTGCCTTTTGGCTGGCTTTATGGATGAAAAGGAAGACAGTTGGCATAGTTGGAAGATCCAGGTAAGATTATATTTGTATGTCCCCCTTCTCCTAAGGGTGGGGATGTAACTGCAGTAGTATCTCCAGGAGAACTTTGGGGACAAGACGCTTCCTGAGAGGCAATACAAAGTGGCCACTTTGGCTGCCACTAACGGGCGGGAGGCCAGAGAATGGGACGATGGTTTTTGTGTCAGAGACTTTAAACTTTGATGTTAATTTTCTAGAGTTGTGGAGACGAATCTCATTCGAATCTCAAAGAAAGCATGTTGCTTCCAGGCATTCCCAGGTTGTATGCTTTAGGAGCTTCAGGCATGCTGCATCTTCTTTCCACTATCCCGATCAGACCACGGAAAAAACAGGCTTTCCGGGTTTTTGCGGAAAACATCTCCCTGAGGTTAGGCACTTTACCCGGACAAAGGCAGGTGCTTCACCACTTCACCCCTTAGAGGCACCCGGACCGCTCCGGACCGCTGCGACCGGACCCACCGGACCTGGTTCCGGCCGGTCGAAAGCTGGGGATGTCCGCATCAGAGACCACATACAGGTGAAGACCTGTCATGAACAGATGAAAAGCCGAGTTTCAAGATGTGTCTTGGTTTTGTTCACCCATGAAAGAGGTGAAATAGCCTTTTTGATCTCTTGTAGACTCTTTGACACTGGAAGAGAATGCATGAAACTTCCCCGGCCTCTTCTCAGGCGCGCCTCGGTGCCGACGTTCTTTCTCGCTTTTGCGGTTGCGCACTCAGGTGGTGAGCTTGCTCTCCGGCGAGGAGCTCTGCCGGTTCGACTACTGCCATTTGACTGGAGCGGCGGGCCCTTGTCGATTTGCGGGATGATGGTCACATTTGAGGCTTCAACAACCAGGTCTTGAAGGGTTCAGATGAATGTGAATTCGTTGGGCCTGACCGAACTTACCTGCAACAGGACCCGTAAAGCATTAAGGCCTCATGTTGGAACGAGGCCTTTGCTAACCAAACCATCATCCACGGTTACAGGTCATAGGATGGATCCAACATATATGGCTTGTCTTAAAGATATCTTGACAGAGTTTGACACCATAGTGGTATAGTGTATAGTGTATAGTTTGACACCACTATGATATCAAGCCATATCTTGATCCAACCACTATGATTGTCTTAAAGATATCTTGCATAGAACAATCATAGTGGTAATTCACTTCTTGAACATGGGACATGGATACGGTACGGCCTCAGTATTCCGAAGACGGACGTGGATACGGTACGGCCAGGTTTGATGTGAGGTCGTAAAGAGCAACGGATGGAAAGTCCCACGCATGGGAAGAATGCAGACTTGTTTTCAGCAATGCCACTGCCACCAATCAGAATTTAATGATGCTAACTTCTTCACTGGAAAATGCCAGACTTGCAACCATTTTGGTCGCACCGAAAGGGACCCCCCCCACCGAACTCGTCGCACCACGGGGCATTCTCGGGGCTTTCGCTGCGCCGCGCCTCCCAGGCGATGCGGCGGGGTTCTTCCGTTTGCACCGCGTGTGGAGCCTGGGCGATTTGGAGGAGACGGCGCTGCGGGTGGCGCGCGTGGACCTGCGGGAGTACAAGCTGGTCACGGAAGATGGGAGGGAGGTGGGGAGGATTGGGGAGGTCGCCATCTTGAGTTGGGGGTGAGGAGTGGTCGCTTGTTGGGCCCACTGGGCTGAGAAGTGGAAGCGGAAGCAGGTGGCATTTGAGGAGCAAGTTGGGGAGGATGGTAAAGAGCTGGGGTGGCTTTGAATGGTTTTGAGGTGGAGGGAGGGCGAAAAGAGGCTTTGGGTGGGGTGTTGATGTTGGGAGTGTTCATCCTTGTGCCCATTGTTTCCAGTGGAACAGATTAGGAATATGGTTTCTATTAGGCTTTTGGCAGGCCTTTGATTGGGTGTGCTTCGAGGCCTGCCAAAACAGTGTCACTCAGATCATGGCCACTGGGTCAAATGGGGAGCAACAGGAGCGGCGTTTCTTCACACACCCGCCGACTATATACTATTCGGTAATTATAAATTCTTAGAAATACTCGAGGTTGAACAAGCTTTTGAGTGTGCATGCAGTGTCTGAAATAAATAAAACAAAAAACACACACACGCCAACATACACAAACTCTGACCGGCGTTAGTTAACCTCACAGCGACCCCCGCGTCGGTCGTGTTCCGGGATCCCGGTCCTCCGCCGTTCCAGGTGCTTCCCCACGTGCACCTCCGCCCCTCCGGCCCTCCACGCGGCACGAGTGGCCGTACGGCGATCACGGTGCGCTTGGCCGCGGTGCGGCGGAGCGTGGAACAAGTGGAGTGGATGAAGGTGAGGGGGGGGGAGATGGGGGAAATGGATGGAAAGCCGGGAAATGGGCCCACCTATAGCCTATTGTGAGTGGGTTTTCCAAAAAGTGAGTGGGGTTGTCCGCTTGTAACCAGCAACCTAAATGGAGTCAAATTGTGTAGGGGCATACTGCGGCATACTGCCTTCACACCCGGACTTTGGGGGTTCAGAAGATGTTCAGAAGTGATGTTGAGACTGTCAAGAGTTTGGTGAGAAGTCACATGATGTCCTTGAACCGGCTTCTTCGAAGTAACCTTTTGAGCAGCCAGTGACCTCAACCTTGGATCTCAAAAGTCACTTTGAAGAACTAACCAAGTCCTGTTGTGAGGGCATTGTTTGGAAGTTATAGATAGGGTTGCCTCCTTTTCTGAGCGCATCTTATCCATCACATGTCAGGTTCCTTATCACACAAACACACCAACGACATTCCGAACCCTTCCGCCCGCCGGCTTTGGGCAGAATACTACCGGAATGTGTTGCGTTCGGATTCGCGAGCTCAATCGCTTCGTGTTCGGCACCGTCGATCGCTTTGGTCCAGTTCAAACCCATAGCGCAGTTTTACACGGCTAAACACACTGTCAGCATGTCGTTCTAGGCATATTGGTTTTCTGTTTGGGTGGGCCTCGGCCTGGGGTTCTTCCTCAATTCTTCGGACCAGTAAGGTCCAGCGGTCCGCATTTGGTTTGGACCTTGCCATACCTTGCCCAAAACACAAGCCTCCCTCAGATTCAGCAGGTTTAAAGTGAGCTACTGTGACACTCTTGTCGTGTAAAACTATATTTATAAGTTTGTATTGTTATTTGTTTTTTGTAATACCAGGGCTTCGTAAGGGGTGTCTACGGTGTCTATCATTAGCACCTATGAACCACCCCTTGTGGTCCTTATTATGTAAAACGTAAAGTTATGCAACATGTAAAATTCATATTCTGTGAACTGGCATGCACTAATTGACTATACGCAATCATAACATGCAACCTTCTTAGAAATGCAATTCCCATATCGTATCCGTGCATCGAAAGCGGCAACCCTATTTTCGGACCGCGAGGCTCTGAGAGAACGGCGCCTTGTTTCCCAAACGGACGTGAGCGGATCGCCCAAGGCCGTAGGACGCGTGCGGACACGTGCTTGATCGAATATGATAGAATACGGACCAAAAGAAACACGACCAAAAGAGACTGTCCGTGAGAATCACAGAGACTGTCCGGCCGACTCCTGAAGACAGAAGTCCCAGTGATTTTCACTGAGTTCCGTTCGTGTTTTCCTCAGACCGCCTGGCTGAGCAAAGCACATGTAAAGGCCAACGGTGCGCCACAAGGGGCGTCGGGACCTGCATGGCTGGCTTGGCAGTTCAAGGGAAGTGATTTGATTAAGGGGACATGTTGATACATTTTGCAATTCTGCAAGTCGAGAAAGATCCATCCCAGTCATTTGCAGTCCATGGCCATGGAGTCATTGAAAGGATGGGGTTCATGGCTTGCAGGCTTGCAGTTTCAAGTCTTTTGCTGGGATGGCATGCATCCAACAGTTTTGACCCACTCGTCGTCAACCCTTTAAGTTGGAGCCGTGTTCTCGGTCGCAGTGTGTTTTCCTCTTGTGCTTGGCACACCACGGACGGGGCTACTTGAAACAAGAAGTGCACCAGCTGAGACGACGCCCAATGTGTGATCATGCGTGTTTCGGGTCTGTTCACCACCACTTTTCACGCTTCGATTTCTTCTCGCTTCGGCATGGGTTTGGCAGAGGCTACGTCTGGTTGAAACGGCGCGTATACGCTACGACGAAGTCACTGTTTGGACCCCATCCGTAGGACGGCCTTGAACACACATGCAATGAGAAATGGTATGGTCACTATGAAGCCAACGGGTTAAGCATTAAGTCACTAGGTTAAGCCCATTTTGTTTGAGGGTGAATTTGGGCCATCCGCGTTTCGCAAAGATATCTTCAGACCTTCAGACCGTTTGAGTTTCTTTCAACATCGGCTTTTCGACTCAGACACTGGCAGTGTCGGGTCCTACACTGGGCGTTTGGGAAAAGCTAGGACACCAAACGAGCCAAGCCAACACCGCTGTCAGACACACCGGTTTTCCGAAGACCTCAGTAAACCCTCGGGTCGTTCAGACATTCAATCAATACCTTCAGTCGTGCAGTGCTTCCGTTCCATCCAGGCTGCCGTTCTCAGTGCCAAGGACCAAGGAGTGGCAGACCCAGCAGCATTTCATCAGTGCAGAGCGGATTGCTGAGAGGATGGCGAAGCTTCGACAATAACATGGGATCGAGTGAAGGTTGGAAAGGGAGATCTCTGGACCTTGAGTGACCTCTAGTTTGGATCAACATCGTTTTCTCATCAGAGGGCTCAGGCTTGGGGTTCTAAGAGCAGAGAAGTGAAGACTCTCAGCTTCTTCGTGAACGAACCAAGCCAGACGTCGCCGATGACCGAAAAAAAAAAAAAAGAAAAAAAGTGACGGTCTGACCGAGGAGTCGGTCACCGGGTTCGATTCGTTCGGTCGTCGAGAAGAGCTCAACAGCGAACGAAGACCAGCAGTAGTACGTGATACCGTATAGTGGTGCTAGCGATTAGTACTACTAGTAGGAGTAGGAGTAGGAGTAGGAGTAGAACCTAGTAGCAGCAGAGTAGGATTAGTATTTGTACTTACTTTGCACGAGTTGAGGAGTCCCATTAATTTTAAAGGTTGGAAGGTGCACCCTAGGAAATGACTGAGGGTCTCTCAAGAGATCTCAGCAGACGTGTGTAGATGTTTGTAGCTTTGAACCCTAGGACCCCAAACCAGGTCAAACTTCTGTGGCGTTGCTCACAAAAGCAATGTCAAGAGCTCCAACTTGCCTGGCCTTTTGTTTTTGCCCCCCCAAAGCTCCAACTATAGTCAGTAGATGTCAGTAGTTTAAAGTAACGATTGCCACGACCATCAAATTCTCCTCTTTGGAGTCTCTAAAATTTTTCAGGGACGAGTGGTGACTCAATGACCTCATCCTTGGATCTCAAGTTCAGTCACTTTGAAACTCCTGGACTCCTGGTGGTGATTGTTTAGGGTTTCCATTTCCATCCAATCACTATTGGATCAGGTGTTCCATGGTTTTCCGATGTTCCATCCTACCTATTCCAAGGTCCGGGCCATTAAACATCTCTTGTGTTCGGCGCCACGCCCACCCTGCGCCGAACACCCGGCGCGCACTCGGCCAGTGCGGCGCGCAGGCGAACGCGCGCTCGGGTGCCTAGTCGTGAGGCTCCACCACGCGGAACTTCAAGACTTGCCCCAGGAGGCCTGGGAGGACCGCGAGGTGCTGCTGAAGCTTGGAACGCCAATCTGTTTGGTTTGAAGCTTGGGTCAAGTCCTGGACCCCAGGTCAAATGAACTGATTCCATAAGGGATGGTGGGGGAGGTTTTGACTCTTGTACATGGTGTTTGTGCCCCCCAGGTGAGGGTCAAACAATATAATGTGCCCTGCCTTCTGGACAACAATCACCTGAAACAGGGTGGGATCACTCGAACTTCAATCAGTGGATGGACGAGCCGCCTATGCATCAATGCACTCCTGTTCCCTGCAAAACATCCGCTGCAAAAGAGGAGGAACTACGGGTCGAATCATGTGGAAGCCTGCAAAAGTCGATTTGGCATTTCTATACGGACGATGGGAAGAGCCGCACGTGGCTCTTTTGGCTGGTTTTTCATTAAGTTCTTTGGCCCATTGCTCATGACATTCCTTGGCTTTGGCACTTTGTTGTGCTCAACTTTGCTCTTGCCGTGTCGAACGTTGTATGCTGGTTCGATGGCTGTGATTTTTGGCCTCGACGATTGTATGCTGGCACAACGGCCTTACAGGAAACCTATCCACTGGTTTCCCAGCTCTATTTCTGCACCAACCACTCCCTGAACGACTTCCACTTGCTGAGCTCAACTCCCCGCGCGCGCAAACCCACCGTGGCTGGCCCGCTGAGGATGGCGCTGGCCCACCCGCGGGTGCACGGCGGAGCGCAGCTCGCGCGGCGCCTGGTGAAGAGCCAGTCGCCCCTGTTCCTCGGCACCGCCGCGTTCAGAACGGACCGAGCGAAGACGACGACGTCCGACTGGAGACTGGACGCCGTCGACGATCCTGAAAGAGAACATCTCAAACCCAGACACGACTAATGGGACTGGCATCGGACTGCCGCCCCATTGACCCCCAAAACCCACCCCAATGTAGGCATATATGGCATACATGGAGTGTTTGGAAAATGCATCTTATATAATGTTTGCCAATATTCCGGTCCCATGGATTGTTTAGGGGTCCTTTTTATTCAGGTTTGGAGTGTGAGACAGGTGAGTCTATGCAAGAAAACTGGTGTTGCAAAGACAACATGGGATTCATTGGACGGTTGTGTCTCAACACCTAGGCACGAACGTACACAGTTGGATTCTCTGTGGGGGGGGGTTGGAAAACCACCGTGGCATCCCGTAGCTCCTGCGGAGCGCCTAAATGAGGTCCTTGGCCTAGTACACTCCCGAGTCAACTCACATAGACCCTGACGTCCTGCCCCCCCTGGGTCCGAGTGTTTGCCTCTGCCAACCGACGTGGAGTACTCAGGGTCTATGGGATCGTCGCCACCAGGGTGTAGGTGGTTTGCTTTGGTTCTGCCTCGCAGGCCTTTTGAAAGGGGTCGTTGGCTGCCGTGCCTGGGAGGCCTCTCTGGTTTGAGGACGCCAAACACTCCATGGGACTGCCATAGGACTGCCGCCCTATTGGCCCCTTTGGCACCACCCCAACTGATCGGCATATATGGCAGTCCCATGGAGTGTTTGGTGTTCTCTCTTCCACTGCCCCCTTGCTAGTGGTGGACGATGACTCGCAGGTGGGGTAGGGCAGAGACCATAAGCCCCAAACGGTAGTTCTGGGATTATGAGCCGTTTTGGGTGGTTCCTCCTGTGCTAGTTCAGCGAGAAGACGGGATCCAACAAAAATGGCCCCTTGAGAGGTTTCACTTCACTTCCCCCAAGGAGTGCGCAGGGATCCCTTGAACAAGCAAAGACACTATAATGCTGTGTTGCATATTCGCTATCAAATGCTGAGATTCTGTGATGTTTGAGCCATCTTATCGATCTAATCTAATCCACATCCAAGCCCCCCCAAGCCTCTCCAATACCCAGCCCAAGGCTGCACGACCGGGAGGTGGTCATGCAATTGGCCAAGTGTGCCATGCATGTGATGCAACATCTACCGGAGGAGCCGCTTGGTCTGTCCGACGCGTCCGGCCGATGGAGATGGGTTCTGAGGTTCGAGTAGATGGCAGAAGACAAACAAGATCATGGTGTACCCTAACATGGAAGTGGATCATGAATTCTGACATATAACTTTGGTAATTGCTCATCTTTGCACCCTTCTTCCGCACCGAGGTTCAAGAGTGATGAAGAAGTGGTCCTGTGCTACATCTCCCGGAATCCCGGCGCCGTGCGCCATGCGGCGCCGGCCTTGCGCGCGAGCGGCTCGGTGCGGGGGTGCGGACGTCAGACGGAGACGATAGATTTCAAGGTGATGAAGGTGGTCCACCGTCACCTTCCCTAAACCTCACAGTCGTGCCTCCGAAACGGTTCGGTATGATTTGGACCCGGCACCCCCCGGTCGTCCGAAGCGAGTTTCGGTTCGCGACGACTGGAGCCCGACAGGGCTTCTGACCTACTTGGATGGCATGATAGGTCCCAAGGGTTGGACGCTGGACGACCTGACCTTCTACGCACCCGTGGGGCCGTGGGGTGTTTGTATTTTTCCAGCTGGCCACCCTGTGAAATGGGGTGGGCCGGGCCTAACTTGGACAGTTCAGGGTTGGTGAGCTGGAAGCACGGTTTGAGCTACGCTTTGGATTCGAGAAAACCAGGGCGGCGCCCTCTGGGTGGGAGGAGAAGAACTCCCTGGACCAGTGAATCTTCTACCATAGAACATGTCTTTTGAGGTCGATACAAAGAGCTGCTCAGTGACACCACCTTCTAGGTTCAAAAGCATCCAAGAAGCACCTGGTTAAAGGCCTTTGAGACTATAGGCTATAGGTTACTAAGTTGATGTTAGTGGATTTGTTGAGGGGGGATGGCTACAGTACCCTATGCTCTCTTGTGCCCTTTTCAACGGTGAAACACCTTTCGAATATGCCATCGCCCCACGCGACCCCCAAGGCGCGGCCTTCTGGAAAAAGGCCGTGATATGCAACGAGCAGACCATCCAGCACCTTGGATCTTCTTGGGATGAAGGAGCCCAGCCTTTTTAGCAGACCATCCTTGAAGAATGTTGTCAGATGCTGTCACGAAGTCATGGCAATTTATTCACTGAGAGACGCAGTTCAACATGGAACAGTCCCATGTAGTAGAGGAGATGCAGTTCGGAGAGCGCAAGGATCGCCAGAATGTGTTGAACGTGTCAGTGTCAGAACTGAGTTTGTAGTTAGTGTGGTGCCCAATTGATGTCCTTTCTGCTGCAGAATCTCACTTAGGCACTCTCCTATAAAAGGGTCATCAAATCACCTAAGAAGCCAGCACTTCTGAAGACATCCTGGATCCCCCCACGAAGCACGAACCGTTTTGGGGCTCGTCATGCCACGGAGCGGAACCGCCCACACCGGTGGTCCTCCGTTTCTGTCCGCCACGCGTCCGACGTCAGGTTTGCTGGACCAGAGGTGCTGCAGAATCGGGAGCTCCTCCTCGAGGCGTGGCGGCGGGAACGGGAGCGACGATCCAAGTACTCACGATCCAAGTCAGCACACTTGAAGATCTATGTATTTTCTGCAGATGGGGCGGGATTATGTATACGCACCAACGTGTGGTCGTAATCCCTGTTCAATCAAGCTGTTGGAACATCTGTGAACCTATTTTCGAGTCTTTGGGTGAGCTTTCCACATTCACTGTGAACTCTCAAATTCACGGTCAACATGTGAACATACCCCATGTCCATCTCATGGACTGAGAGTCCGTGAATGGACTCCGTTGCCCCGAACAGTGCCCCGATAGCAGTGGGACCGGTCCACCGTCCGTCTCAAGGTGCTTCACCAGTACCGAACCTCAGGTTCGGCACGACTTTACCCTCCACAGCCAACCCCAGTCCCACCGAACCTGAGGTTTGGTAAGACTGGATCCCTAGGGACTTAAGGGTGGTTCAAAGCTCCTGTAGTTTGTGCCGCCTGCTTGGATCGACAGAACTCAGTGAGTCGCTCATGGCTCACTCGTTTGCGGACCACGGGCAGGTGCTTCCTGTGCGGGCCTCCGCATTGCAATTTCTGTCGGAGGAGATGAAGGCAGACAAGGAGCGAGCTGCCGATGGGTGTGACTTCCTCAAAGAAGAATACAGTATATAGGTACTGCAGGCACAACATGGCACACCCAGTCTATCCCAGCCTTCATTTGTTGGTTTGGTTACTCTAATCTAATATATTAAGTTGATTAAAGTTCAATATCTGAATACCCAACCCAGACCTTCCAGACCATTTGCCAATCAGATACTGGGTAGGTGAGGTAGGTGATAGGGTGTCTAAACTTTCAACCAAGCTCACCACCCTGGTAATGATCCTTCCAAACCAGTCCCAAACACTCAAACACTCCATGTTTGGCATAAAATCCATACATTTAGGGTGCATTGAAAAGGGCTCCATTGTGGCATCTCTTCCAAGTCCAAGGGTCTACAGGACCTTTCAAAGGTCTACTAGGGGCTCCACCGCGTCCCTCGTGGGTTTGCCACCGCGTCACCAGGAGTTGGTGCTGTGCGCCGTGCGACGCCAAGGCAGGGCCTTGGGATTCGCGGCCGTGGTGCTGCGCAGGGACCGCGAGGTGGTCTTGGCGGCGGTGCAGCAGAGTGGACCCTCGGCAGACCAACGAAGGAGACGAAGAGGAACTTGGAACACCCGTGGTTTCGACCATTTTCCCAGGACCAAGCCATGTGGGTTTTGGGGGGTTTCCATGTGGTCCGAATAGGGGAGTAGTCTGGATCCGCCAGAGGAACGAAAGGTCGAAGAACAGCGAGGGTGGGGATACATGGGTATTGGATGGGTTGGATAGTATGCATCAGAGATATATGGCAGAAGGCTCCCAGTGCAGTAGTTATTACGTTTGCGGGGAACCAAAACAGATCCGAAGTCAACTGCTAGAACACACTGAACACACCTTAATAGGGATCATGGCTGAAAACATGTGTTGACATTGATTATGGTCGCTGAAAAGCGGTCAGGACTAAGTTGGTAGATCGTGCACGATGACATGTTCGTGTTCTGATTCAGAAAAGCGGTCATGAGTCATCAATTACTGCAGTCAAACTATGGTGGCAGATTGTGAAAGCACGGTTTTGCCACAAAAAACAGCTTTAAACAAACGCCCAGTTGAAACGTGGTCATTAGATTCTTCATTTGATGAGCTTTGTTGCTGAAAAGCCACCAATCTAGCTTGGGAGTTGCTCTTCAGGGAAGATTGTCCAAGGGTGCTTCTGCTGAGTGAAGGTTGGCATGTTGTTTTGATTCTCCTCCACATCAAGCTCTCCTTGCTACTCAGCTTGTGTTTGACCGACTTGAGTTTTCCTACTTGTATGTGATTCACGTGACACCGGGCAAGGAAACGCACATCAAAACAACGTAGCAACCTTCGCTCAGTAGCAAAATCGTGTGACAATCTTCCCTGAAGAGCAATTTCCCAACGAACTGTTGTGGTATTTGGTGAGCATGCAGCATGCACTCAAGTGCCTTAGTGTAGCCCAACATTAGATTCATATTGATTCTCCCATCACCAATTCTGGGGTGGTGGCTTTTACTCCAAACCACATAAATATATTGCTCCAGCTAGATGCTTCTCAGCACTGACAAACACAGATTGCAACTGACCATCCTTTTTCAGCATCAACTAAAAATAAACAAATATCAGCTATGATCCTTGATGTTTTCTGCAAAAAAAATCTAAACCTGTGTGTTCTAACAGGTTACTTCTGATTTGTTTTTACGCCTTTATTCAGTTTGGCCCTTGGCATGGATTGGTTTTCCAAGATGTGAAGAGCTCATATATATTTTTCACTGTGGTTGTAGAGGGCGCCAACCAGGATGTGAAGACACAAGAACGCATCTCTTTCGAACCAGGGCATTTGGAAGTACCTCGAGTCCCTGGAGTAACATTTCTAGTGAGGACAGGGTTCAAGTCCATGACTGTAGTTGGAGAAGTACTGAAGTTACTGAAGCACCTCCACAACCATCCGATGAGTAAATTGTTCAGGCCAAACAAAAGTGATTTGAACCACCTCTCGAATCAACATATATGTTATGTGTTACAAAGAATAACCATCACGGCCTTCAGACGACCTTCATCCTCAGGTTCTTAGGCGCCAATGGCTTAAAGGCGACGCAACAATTGGCTCAGTCCCTGCCTTTTTTGGAGCCTCGTGGAACGCCTGCAGTCCGGTCCTTCCAGTACGGCCCTAAGGACAGGCACTGCCCTTCGCGGATGAAACGCTCCAGACGGACACTGAGGCGTCACGTGTCGTGACCGCCGAGTTACGCGTCACGTGGAAATGGCTTCCGGGTCTCGTGGTTTTTCGTTGAAGCGGAACGACACCTGTTCTTGTTAAAACTCACCAAACGACTGCAGTGTTGGTTTTTCAAACCAAACAGGGGTCAAGCGGGCTGTTGGTCGTTGTATGTAATAATTGTTGTGTGCGTTTTGCCAGTTTTGCAGTGTTGAAACTGAAAGAAACAGTTTGGTGTGTGGTCCTGGTCCGTTTTCAATCCGACCCGGATCGGTGTGTATTTGTTGCTTTTTTATAACTGTAATCGCTACAGATCAGTTGAGCCACGCTGAAAACCTCCCCCCCGCGTAAGCTAAAACTGCGGTCGCGTAAGCTCTGCGTAAGCTTTGGCGTAAGCCAGACATTTCCAGGTTATGTCATATCGATGCTGCGTAAGCAAAGCCTGCAATGGCGTAAGGTGGCGTAAGCAGCGGCGTAAGCAACACCCCCGCGTAAGCTGAAACTGCGGTCGCGTAAGCGCTGCGTAAGTTTTCGCGTAAGGCAGTTCTTACGACATAGGAATCTATCAAGGTTTTCAGCATGGCTCAGTTGGAACGCCCACTCGAGGCCTTGGTTGACTTTCACCGGGTAGACAAGAACAGAGATTGCCGAAACATCAATGTCAACCCCAATGTCAATGTTCGTATCACCTATCTGGGTGTTTGATTGGTTAATGTGTAACATGTTTAATCGATATTCGTACCCATCATGTAGCACATTAGTTTCCATCGTGTACATCTACGGAGTTGTGAATTTGAGTATTCTGAGAGCGACAACCTGAACTCTGCAATGGAAGAATTGGCAGTGGCAGTGAGCACATCTACTATATATCATTTGGAGGGTAATGTTCACAAGTTTGACCTAACACTTACTCCCCAAAAACGGCGGCTAGGCTGTGACCTTTCTTGAAGATGGATATTCCTGCCAAAGACGAAGCACTGGACAGAGAAGGTTTCGTTCGACTCCTCCGCAGGTTTCACTCCAGACCGCCTGTCCCTCGCTGTGCAGGTGGTCCTAGCAGCGCTGCCAGAGGCTCCAAAGGAGATACTTCTCAAGGCGGCCTCCTGGCTGAACTGCGGCATTATGTGCGACTGAATTCAGGTCTGGCAGGTGTGTCATTGGTTTTGGCCTTTTTCTTCGTCCCAAGAACGCCTTCCCAAACGATCCATCGGGCTGGGATGCGTTGGCCGCTGGCAGAACTGAAAGACGGAGAGCGACGGAGCGCAAGACCCGGCGCACGGGTGTGGTCGTTGGGGGTTTCCGCGCTCGCCCCGTGGGGACTTCCGGTCTGGTTCGCTGAAAACCACGGACAAAAAGTGTAATGTTTTGGTTTGTATGATCATGTATGATCCAAGGTCCAGTAAAATGAGGTCGTGACCTGCAGAGCAACAGGGCAACTACATGCAAACGAACTGCACACAAACCTGACTCCAGGTGTGACTCACAGCCAGTGAGCCGTGAGTCTTGGAGTCTTGTGAAAGGGGTCGGAGAGATGCCGCCTTCGTATCTCAGGTTGGTGCTTGGAACGGTCCTGCCAACTGTTTTCCTCGAACGAACTGCATGTCCCAACGAACGGAGGACTGCGAGCCTCTTCAGAACATCCGTCTTCGCCCGAAAGAACTCATTCCCTCATTCCTGTGGAACTGTGGAATTGTTGTTTTTTTCCTGCCTGCCAGGTGAGGGTTGTTACATTTTATCAGAGCTTTTCTCCTCTTGAACCATGGACCTTGTTAGATTTTAAAGTTATTTAACTCATCTCTGGGCCTTGTCCTCCTGAACCCACCATTTGCACCCATGCAGGGAACCCCCCCCCGCTGAGGTTGGGGAGAATCCGGAGCTCTTCCAGCAGCTTCCCGAGGCGCTCAGATGGATTCAGACACCAATCCTGTACTGGTTTGTCCTGTTTGGAGATGATAGTAATGTGGGTAATCCAGGTGTGGCACCTATTTTAATCAATTTTTCTTTATTCAGTGATTCTGTGGAAAAAGCTTCTGAAATTGAGATGAAAGTGAATTAGTATTTGGAAGAAGTTCCTGGAATTTAGATGAAAGGAAATTTGTATTTAGAAGAAATTGACATCAACGGGAACTAGTATTTGCTAAAAAAATCCTGGGACTGGTATGAAAGGGAATTAGTATTTGGAAGAATTTGGGATGACAGGGAAATAGTTCATTTGGAAGGACTTGAGGTGAAAAGGCAATTAGTATTTGGATGTACGTGAAATGAAAGGGAACTAGTATTTGGAAGGAATTGAGGTAACAGTGAATTTATACTTGGAAGCAATTGAGATGAACGGGAGTTGGTACTTGGAAGGAACTGAGGTGAAAAGGACATGACAGGGAATAGAGCTAATTAACTAATTGTTTGGTTTCAGGAACACCTTTAGCTTTATTTAGGGTACACGATGGTACACTCTATATAAGGTATGGTCGCTTCAGGAAATTCTTTCTATTGCTTTTTAATTAGTGTATTGAGGGTATGGTGGCTTCATGGGGGGTATCCTTTGCAGAGTGGTTTTGATCAATTGTTGATGGTTTTTGAACGAGTGTTATAAAGCATGTTCATCAGACGGTTTCTGAGCTTTGGCGAGTTCAAGTGATGAAATGAAGAGGAACGGTCAGAAAGGACGGAAGAAAAGTTCCTTTTTCAACAAACCACATTACTTTACTTCGAGGTCCCCACCATGACATCTCAATTATTTGCTTTCATGCATGGTGAGGAGCATGGTTCCAGGGTCGTCGGCTTTGTGGCTTTGGATGTTGCTTGTGGGTCCTCGGGTTTGGGATTGTTATTTTAATGTTATGGAGTTCCCGTCGGGGTGTCGGCGGGATACCTATCAAAAAAATGTGTATATATATAATATATGTTCTATCCAGAAGAATATGTCCTATCAAGAAAAAATAAACAGAATATTATCCTGATCTCCTTTCATCCTTTGGTCCCTTGGTCTTCTGGTCCCCTGGCCCTCTGGTCCTTTGGTCCTCTGGTCCCCTGGCAAAAAAGGCCTCACACCAGCTTCAGATGAGGCCACTTTTCCGCTGTCTTTTCTGACATTGTTCTTGGCACGTCGTGTTTCTCGAACCGATTGCTATTTTTCCCACGTCCAGTCAGGCGCCAGAGTCTGAGCAACGGCGTGCAACTTCACACGTCCACAGCTTCCTTTCTCAACTGCAGGACAGAAGTCTATGAGCGTCGTGTTTAAACGAATCTTTTCCAAGTTCCATCCCAGGTACATTCTGCAGAAGCATGGCTGAAGTCCACTGAGGCTTGCAGTTCCTGTATGACCTCACACTGTCCATTCATCTAGGCAAATATTGCATTGCAGCCTATGTGCTCAGTCTCCGTTGCTTCAATGAGGTACGCGGAAAGCGTCCCTCCTGGCAGGTCAGCTTGTTCTCGGTGACATTCGGTGACGCTGTTTCAGTGTGCTCCTTTGCCTCCTGCTTCGTTGTCCTACTTCAAGTGTAACCTCCTCACACATCAGCGTTTGACACTTCTGAGCGCTGCAAGCGCGTGCGGGAGATGTGCCCGCGGTAGTGAACCCAAAATGCTTTTAAGTATATGAAGCTGAAGCTATACTATATTCAAGTATATAAAGCATTTCAATGATCATCTCCATGCTGTGGAGAAAGCTATACTAGATCGAACGCCAGAAGACACACCAAGCTTTTTGAGGTTGCTTACCCAAAGAGAATGTCAATATGTATGTCAGAAGGCTTACCAGGTGGCGTCGCAATCTAGATGCCATCTCAATCCACCAAAACAATCAGAAGCAAGAAAATACAGCCAGGGCCCAGGTAGCCTCACAATCTAGATGCCACCTCAATCCACCACAAAAAATCAGAAGCAAGAAAGTTCAGCCAGCGCCCAGGTGGCGTCACAATCTAGATGCCACCTCAATCCGCCAGAGGCAATCAGAAGCAAGAAAGTACAGCCAGCGCCTGTGAGGACTAATGAATAGATATTTCGCACATAAACTATACAACCCTTACCTCACATAAAGCATACATACTGCACTTATGGAACCTCCAAAATAGTACAGGCTGCACGATGTCAATCTTGATGCGCTGATTTCGTCGCAGGCGCTGCACTTTGAGCACACCTCCAAAGCAGATTTTGTGGCAAGAGCGGCAGTTTGTGCACTGGAAGTGCGGATTTCATGGCAGGCGCAGCTGACAGCCGCACACACACATATGATATCAGCGCGATAAGACCTGACACCTGGGCTGTTCTACAGCCACCCACAGCTGCACTTACACCATCCAGCAACACCTTACTGCCACGTCACCCACACTTGTTCCGACCGCGCAGCACCAATCGGGCCACCCATCGCTCTCAGTTGCTTTCGGGCCACCCATCGCTCTGAGCTGCTTTCGGGCCACCCATCGCTCTCAGTTGCTTTCGGGCCACCCATCGCTCTCAGTTGCTTTCGGGCCACCCATCTCTCTCAGTTGCTATCGGGCCACCCATCGTTCTCCGTTGCTTCAGGACCCATCGTCCGGTTGCCTTTTGACATGTCAGTCAGATGTGTCAAGAAAACCTGGAGAATTAGAGGTAAAGGATTCGATGTGAAGAGGTGAAAACCTCGATGTGAAGTGGAGAGATGGAGAGCCGGAGAGCTGGAGATGATTCGAGCGTTCACGTTTTTTGGGGCCACCTTTGTTTTGGACCACCCATCGTTCTTAATCATGCCGCTAATGACAATTTGCTGATGGTGTTTGACGGTGTTCGGCTTCTACGCGGTGGAAAGGTTGTTTTTTAGTGCGCCATGCCTTTGAATCATGATAAAACCTAAGGTCCGGTGCAGTCACGTGTGAAAAGATTGGGCAGAAGGTGGCGCAAGCGTGTGATGCTTTTGAAGGGCATCCATATATGTTTTTCTGCCGTGGTATGATATACCAGAACGTATTGAGGAACAAACTTCGCCAGATGACCAAAGAACGTGCCACAAGTGTCCTCAAGACCTTATTCTCACTCAAGCCACGCCGGCCCAGAATTAAGGATGCAAAGGGCAAGTTCAGGTCCAAGATGCTCAGCCTTGTTGTTTCCCCACTGTTTTGGTGAATTCTTTTTTACCCACCTGCCAGGTGAGGGTTTTTAGATCTGTCCACTCCACCCGTTCTCCTCCTTTTCTCCCCCTCTGAACTCCGAGCTCCAGATCACTTTTGTGGGCGCGACCTGGCCCCAACCACAAACGCTACTCGGCACTGGGCGCCACCGGACCCCGACCGCGAGCGGCAGATCACAGTGAGCACTGGATGCCAGAGAGCGTGCCAGAAGAGATGCCCGTTATATAATTAGGTTGACAAAAATGTGATGTGCCAGTAACTATGCAAAGTTGAGTGCAGCAATAGTGCGCCAAAAAGAAAGCCAGTAAGCCAGGTAGAGCGCCGGAAAGAACGCCAGACGATGTGCCAGAAAGATTGTCAGAAGGTATGCCCGACAGAATTTCTGCAAAAAAAAGTCAAATGATCGATGCCAAAGAGAATAAATAGAAAAACCAAACAGAAAATATGCCAGGTAGAACGCTGCACTGCTTGTCAGAATAAATGTGCCAAAGAAAAGAAAATATCAAACAATTGTCAGGAAGTTAGGTAGCTTGCAACACAAAAATACGAAGAGACATGCAAGTTAGAAGATACTGTACCAGATAGAGTGCCAGAATGGGTGCCAGAAGGTATCTCAGTTGGAGTGCCAAAAGGTCTGCCGGATAGAGAATGCCGGAAAGGATGTACAAATATGCGGTGATAGCCAAAGGCATGCCAGATACCTTGGCAGAAGATGCCCAAAAGGAGGTCAGAAGACTGAACACACGCCAGTTTCAGCGTCCGTATTTTATTTGATAACGTTTGTGTCAGAAACTTTGACGGGGCATAAAATGTCAGTCACCTGGCAGGTTTGATGGCAGAACATTTCCGAGCCTTTAAGATAGACGATGAATTAGAAGCGCCAACGCATATGCCAGGCAGTGTTTGCCAGGATAGTCTGTCAATACATGTGTGCACCCCCCCCTTTTGTCCTATCACCTCGCAGGGGATCACTCGAAAGAATGTTTTAGTGTTTCGGCGCGGCACGCTTTGAGACCCATCCAGTCAGGAAAGAAATATTCAATTATATCAAGCGGCTGAAAGGCATCAAATCTTGTGGGGCAATCAATTACTGGCGATATTGGAGGCACTTTCACACCTACCCCATGCCTGAGGATAATAAGTACACGGAAGTCGGGCCCGGTACCAAGCGAGGTTTAAACCTGATGTTGCTAAGTGGTCGAGGTTGCAACTTTTTGTTTGTTTGTTTAAGTTGCTTAAGGATAGTAGTAATGTTGCTCAAACCAAGTTCCACAGTTTGCAAGCACAGGTTTCACAACCCCGTATTCCTTTGCAACGCTGATGCAAGTGAACCGGCGATGGAGTACTACACGGCCCAACTGCACAAAAAATGGGGCAACACGTACATCAGGCACCCATCCTGAAGCCTAGTAGGGAGGATTCAGCTGCCGTTTCATTTGCAAAGGCAGAGGTTAAGGATTTTTTGAAGACCCTAGATGGTAAGGCGTTCGCTGCGTGCGAACACCAGAAAATTGTTTCCTTCCTCAATTCGGAGTCTGTAATGTACTTGCGCGGCCACCGCTAGAAAAAAGTAATCTACAACGCGCGCTGACGCGTGCTTAGGGTGATGGCCAGCGGGCCAGTGAGAAGTGTTGTCAAAACTGCCCCAGTCTTCACTCGATGGCTCAAGCTTCGATGAACATGTGTCTCCAAGTGAGCATTTCCGGAAATCTGTGGGTTTGTTATGGCTTGTTGGCCTTTCATGGCCCCATAAAATTCAATTTGTTGGCACCCCTTACTTGCCAAATAC